ATAATAAATAATACATATTATAAATAACAAAATAATTTAATATTTTGTTTTAAAATGTAATATTTTTTTCATTTTTTGTATATTTTGATCATTTTATATAATTTTTAATATTTTATGTTATATATTTTAATATTTTTTGATATACTTATATTCAATGAAAATTATTTTAATGAAAAAATTAATTTTCAGCATGGTAGAGTAAAAGTTCGAACAACTGCAGAACAAGAAGCATTGAAAAAAAAGGAAAGAGCTGAAAAACTTTTACGTTATAAAGCTGGAATGGGTATTGTGTTTAAAAAAGTAATTTTATAAATATATCATTTAATATATGTTTCAATATAATAAGATAAATTTATATTATGAATGTAATTATAGTACAAAATATTTCAATCATAATAGTACAAATAAAGCTAATAATTTTTCATATAAAAATAAATAGAAAATACAGAATAAAATTTTTGTAAATAAGATTCAAAAAATGATTTTAAATTTATTTTAATATATTGAATATTTATAAATATATATAGTGCCAGTCAAACTTGAGTATTATTTATATAAAACAATATATAATTGTTATATAATATAATACAAATAATATAAATTAAATAAATAAACTTAAATATAATTTAATATAATTGAATAATATATTTTTGTTATTTTTGAATATTTAATTGAATAAGCAAATGATTTTTTTTATACTATTTTATTATTAAATTTATTATTATTTGCTTATACTTAAATAATTGAAATATTCTATATATAATTAAAAAAATGAAATGAAAAATATAAAATTAATACATATATTAAAATTTAAATACACATAAATTAGTTTAGATTAAATTATTTAATTTTATATTATTATTATGTTACAGAGGAAAGATAAAATTTATGATGAAGAATTAATGATGGTTACTGAACGTATGGTACTACAAAACCCAGATATTTATACTTTATGGAATATTCGTAGAGAAGCATTTATAAACAATAATTGGTAATTATAATAATAATTTTTTTATTTTTGATTATTAGTAATAATTTGAACTTTTTAATATTAAATAATAAGTATGTTTTTTATATTATTTAGTATTTCTAATTTTAAATTTTAATATATATATAATTTTATTATTTTATTTTATAAATATAATTGTTTAATATTCATTATTAATATTAATGATACTAAATATTTAAATATTTTTATTTGTATATTAATAGTGTTGTGAAAAATTTTTAATATAAAATAATGAAAATTCAAATAATAAATAATGCATGTATTATATTTTAAATTTAAATAAAAATTATTAAAATATTAATTACTAAAATATTAATATTAAAATTATATTAAATGCTAAGATCAATATTATACATTATGTTAATAAAACAGGGAAGAAAAACTGTTAAAAGAGTTTTATCAAAGTGAATTATTACTTACTGAAAATTGTTTGAAACAAAATCCTAAATCTTATTGGGTATGGTATCAACGAATATGGATTATGAACCATTTAGTGGAATGTGATTGGAAAAAAGAATTAATACTATGCAATAAATGTTTAAATTTGGATGACAGAAATTGTAAATTATTAAATATTATTATTAAATATTTTAATTTTATTATTCAAAATATAATAAAATATAATTTTTATTATAGTTCATTGTTGGAATTATAGAGAGTTTATTGTACAGAAAGCAGGAATTTCTCCTGAAGAAGAATTTCAATTTGCAACTTCAAAGATTTTAAATAATTTTTCTAATTATTCTTCTTGGCATTACAGAAGTCAATTATTATCAAAAATATTTCATAGTTCCAATCAAAACAGTATTTATGAAAAAAAAAAAGAAGGTAATGTTTTTATAAGATATTAATACTAATTAGTACTTGTTATTATTTAATCTATTTTAAGACTATTTTATAATATACAATATCAAAAATGTCTTTTTTTTTTTAGAATTAGATCTAGTAATGAATGCTACATTCACAGATCCCAATGACTCTAGTGCTTGGTTTTACCAAAGATGGTTATTAAATACTCATGAATGTTTTCCTATTCTTTCTCAAGCATTGATAAAAGATAACAATGTGACCATTTTTGCTAATAAAAATATATCAATTGAATCAATATGTTTACTAATAAATAATGAAAATAAAACTGTTCAATGGAAATCTTGGCAAGAAACAAAAATGTCAAAATTATGGTTTGGAGAATTTAAAAAGCAAATGAATCAAATAAAAAATATTGAAATTAATATTGAAGAAATATCTTATCTTTTATTCTGTATCAATCAGAAATGGATATATAGAAAAAAAAAATATAAATATTGCTCTAATAAAGACCAATTATTAGAACAATTATCAAGTTATAAACAACTTATAAAAATGGAACCAACTAATAAATGGGCTTATTTAACTAGTATACTTTTAATGAAAAAGATTGATTTTATAAAATTTTATGAAAATATTTTAACAAATTTAAATATTCTTATCAATATTGATTCTCTTCGTTTTAATTATTATAAAGATTTACGTAAGTATATTTAATATATTTGTTTATATATTGTAAAAATTTTCTAATATTTATGTAATTAAAAATTATAAATTTTAATATATAAATTTATTTTTAATTATATAATTATTTTAATTATGGATTTTTATATTTTTTTTCTAACATTTCCATATCATCATTGTAGTAATATTTTTAAAAATTAAATAATAAATATTTTTTTCAGGGAGCCAATTCATAATTAAATATAAAATATATGAATTATGGAATGTAGAAGAAGATCAAGAAATAAATTTAGAAATTGATCTTTCGGGATTAAACTTAACTACACTTAATAATAATGAACATCTTGGTTTCTTTGAACAAGTAAATCTTAGTGCAAACTGTTTATCAAATTTATTAAATCAATTATCTTTATTACAAAATTGTAAAAAATTATCACTTTCAAGTAATCAACTGAAAAATTTAAAAAAATTTCCTACATTACAAAATTTAGAAGTTTTGTCATTAAGGAATAATAAACTAAATAATTTAGAAGAAATACTACAATTATTAAAAAGACATAAATTAAAGTTGCTTGATTTAAGAGAAAATCCAATTTGTAGTACCATAGAATTACAAACTAGTATTATACAAATCAATCCAGATTTACAATTATATATAAAATAATTTTTATAAATGCATACATATGCAATTATTTAATTTATTGAATAATTGAATATTGTAGAAATATAAAAAATAAAATTGTAAAATTGTTTATGGAATAAATGAAAATACATAATTATTATTTATTTTGTATCATACATATATGTAATGTAAAAAATTTATAAAAAAAATTTTAAAAATTATTTACTTTAATTTTTATTTCTATCAGTATTATTATCATATAACTCTTACATATATTTATAAATATTAAAATTGATTAATAGAATTTGTATATTATGTATATATATATATATATATATATATTTTATTATTTTGAATTCATTTTATAATTTTTTTTAAATTGTTTTTATTTGAATTTTTATATAATATTAATTATTTTTAATATTATATATAAGTTATTCTATAATATTTTATATTTAATATGATATATTTTATAGAAGGAAAAATAATATATTTTCATAAATAAATGCATGAAGAATATTTTAAATTTATTTATTTGAATAAAATTATATACTTTTCAATATATTGATTTCACTTTTTATTTTTTATAAAATTATATAAGTTTGAATTGAGTATTAATTCAAAAAATTTGTTAAAAAAAATTTGAAATTTAAGTATTAATGAATTCAAGAATAGTTTAAATAAAATTTAAATATTAATAAATTTCTATTCATTATCATATGAATTTTACTAAATGAAAATCTCAATTTTCAATTTCTGAATTAGATATTTTATGTTTTCATTATATCTATTTTAAATTTTTTTAATAGAACACATAATATTAGATAATTTGAAATAAAAAAATTTTTTAATTATATTGATAAATATTTTAAAAAGAATTGATAAATTAATTAGAGAAAATTTAGAGAAAATAGAGATATTTAGGTTAGGAATTATACTTACTTTTAAAGATTTAATTTAAGAAAATAAAAATCGAATATTATTCTTTTATTAATTAAAATATTTTTTTATTAATTTTTATTATTAAAATTTAAATATTTTCTTAATGAATAGCTTCTAAATAGTATATTTTTTTTTTTTACTAGAGATAACATTTAATAGATGTTAAGAGATATATATTTTATGATACATATTTCATATATTTATATTATATTACATATATTTTACATGTACATATTTACGTATATATAATATAATAAATTATTCAATTTATTATATTAAATTTTTTCTAAAATTATAAAACTTTAAAATATTTTTTCTATAATGGTTTTGAAAATAATTAATTATTTATTTCAAAGCATCAATTTAAATGACTAATATATTTATCAAAATATCTTATATATTTATCTTATATATTTATTATCGAAATAAATTATCTTTTTTCCATTAATATTTATCATATTTAAATATAAAAAATATAATCGTATTATTATTATTATATATAACATATTTGATATAATAAAACTGTTAATTTATTTATTTATATACTATTATTATATACTATTTGTTTATTTTATGTAAAATAATTATTTTATAAGCAAGTATGATTTTTTATTTTTAATCTAATATCATTTGTTTAATATATTAATATATTTTATTTTTCTAATTAATTTATTACATTATATTTTTTTTAAATCATAGTGTAAAAATAATAATTAATAACAATAATATATATATTATATATAAATTAATATGAATTATATAATCAAATTAATGATATTGAAGAATTATTATTAATAAATATATTAGAATTAAATAATTGTTATTATTCTTATATTTTTATTTTAATATTTAATTTTTAATTTGCCGCTTTTAAAAACCAATCAATAGGGAATAAATTAGTTCTAGTAGAGAACGTACTATTACTGAACGCAACTTGCATTATTGTTTGGATTACCATTCGATTTATTTATTCTCTGACATTTGATATGGCGAACAATATGGCTTATCATTGTTAAAATTTTACTAAACAAGCTTTCCATTAAAAGATTCTAATGTTTCAGTGATACAATGATTTATTTTGAAATAATATTGTCATCTTGTTCTTTCACTATTAGTATGCGTACCTGATACTTATGATATTCCATATAGGTGAAGGTGAGCGTACATGTATATAAACGTGATACGTATGTGCACGTTGAATCATTATTTCTCATAACCTTTTTATGAGTACGAAATATAGCAGATGCAATTAGACAATCTTAAAAGATGTGGTTAAATCTATACATCTTATAGCCGACAAGCGGCGAAGATAGTAAACGCATACTATATCTAATGGAGTGGACCGTATTGTGATTTTTGGCTTGAAGTAGATTTTATCTTCGCTTTGCGGAAAATATTATTCACAGTCTAGTTAAGTGTGTAATCTCTACAGCGTATCATATCATGGCCTCGTCAAATAGAAGAATTCAAATCGGTTCTGCTTGGTTTCAAACAAAGATTAACCTAAGACCACAGCGCCGAGGTATTCATCACGTTACCGAGGAAATTTTAAGAAGAATTCCCGAACTCTGCGAATTTTCAGTTGGACTTTGTCATATACAAAGTAAGTTTTCTTTTTCAATAAAAAATAATTATATTCTAGTATAGTACAAAACAAAACTAATTAATTTTTTTATAATAATAATATTATATAAAAAGAAATATGTAAGAAATACAGAAAGAATATATACAATATTATTTTTATTTATTCAATATTATTATTAATATTACTGATAACCTTAAATATAATATAAATAATTAATATAAAATATATTGATAATAAAAAATAAAGGAAGTAATATGTTGTTATTTAATAAAATAAAAAAAATGAATTTAATTAATTTTATTATAGTTAATTATTATTTATATTATAATTAATTATAATTAGTTATTATATTTTATTATATTTATTTATGTAAAGTTTATTATATTTTATTAACAATTTTATGAATGTATTAAGAATGTAAATCTCATATTACATTTCATATAGAATATATTAAATATATTAAATGTAAACATATGAATTATAAATATATGTACAATTATATAAATATTAATATTAATCAAAAATTGTTGTCTTAATATAAAGTATATTTATTATTTTTTTAGTTCTTCATACATCAGCAAGTTTAGCACTAAATGAAAATTGGGATCCAGATGTTAGAGATGATGTAGAAATGATGCTTAATAAAATAGTTCCTGAAGGTTTGGCCTATAGACACAGTTGTGAAGGACCAGATGATATGGTAAGTTTATGAAATTTTTGTTTATAGTTTTAAAATTAGATTGTGCTGTGCATTATTTATATACATATATTTGTAATTTTTATAATTGATTAATATTTTACATAAATATTATATATATTTATAATAAAAATAATCATATCATTAATATAAAAACAAAAAAATATTATATAATAATAATTAAAATATATATTACATTATTTTAAATAGTAAATCTTTTTAAAATAAAAGTTTAATTTTTTTCAAATATAAATAAAAATTTTTAAATATATACCCATAAATTTATATATAAGTGTAATTAAAAAATATGTAGTTAAAAATTATATAGCTTTTTATAATTATATTATTTATAGCCAGCACATGTAAAGGCATGTTTTCTGGGCTCTTCATTGAGTATTCCAATTACTGATGGCAAGTTGACTTTGGGTACATGGCAAGGAATTTGGTTGTGTGAACACCGTAATGATGCTGGAAGTCGTAAAGTAGCTATTACATTGACTGGTTGTCTCAGGGATCCTGCACGTAGTCCTTTGAGTCCTGTTAGTCCTATTGCTTCTACTAGCAGCTAGGACCACTCACACCCCCAAAGACGTAGCAAACGTCAGCTGCGCATATCTACATCCAGTGATTCAAGCTAGCAGCTGCTTATCTTTAGTCATTTTTTAAGAGTTTAATTCAGAAAAGAGTGTATGGATACTTTAAAAATATTTATAGATATTGCATTTTCTTATATCTACTATCACAAATTTTAAACATCTTTTATAATGACATAATTTAAAATCATAAAATTATATTTATTATCATTCTTAACATTATTTCATATTTTCTTTTATTTTTTTATATTCACATAGTATATTTATAATTTATATTATTTAAATGAGCATGTCAATATTTAGTATACATTTCATGACTTTATTTAGATTAAATTCAGTTAACAGTAACTATCCAAAAATGTTGTTCATTAAATACACAATGTTGTTCAGTACTTATAAACTGCCAAGGCAATTGTATATTACAAGCATTCAGAAATAAATATAAACGAATTACAATACAAGTATCCTGCACTCTTCTTTATTACTCTTAGAAAATTAATGTAATGCATTCCAATATAATGCGTCCAATATTCCGAATTTAATTACATAGCTTTATTTAAATAATTCTTTTGTAAAAAAAAGATTAATAAGGAAAATGGCATTAATAATTGCTCAACTGAGATCTTGCATGAACATTTTTATAATATGTAAGATAATCTCAGTTTGGGTATGTGCAATATGTTATAACTTTCTAACTCACTGCTTATCATAGGGTAGATATTTTTAATGACGTTTCCAATGCATTTGGGGGTGTATATAGGTTACAATCAACACTTCTTTGCTGTGCTAATATACTTCTGCTAGAGATATTCACATAAATTATAATAATATAATAATATATATAATAACATGTGGGCAAGTCAGTATGAAAGTAGAACAATTAAAAAAATCATCAAATTATGCAAATAATGATTTAGACTTATTACATTATTATTAAATATTTACTCATAAAAAATATTCTAGAAATCTTAATTAATAATTGAAACATGAAATGTCATCTAGGAATGTAGCACTGCAAAGAGTTGTAAAATTATTTACAATGTTACTAAAATAACCAAAGCTTATCATGGGAGCTTGTTGACGTATCTAATGTACTGTTAAGCAAGCAGTCGATGTTAGTTGTTAATCTTTCTCATATATAGTATAAATGGTCGTCCATTATGATTAATGAAATATGCTTTAATGTGAGGTATCCAATGCAATTCATATAATTAAAAGCTTAAACATTAAAAGCTCAAAAATAACACTATCAAAAATTATAATAAATTTTTACTAAATTATAATTTTTTTGCTCGTAAAAAAGTTATGGAACAAGTTCGTATATTTAAACTATAAATTCAATTATAATTCTGTTAATGTGCTCAATAAGACAAATTCTTAAATATGTAAAATTTATAAATATAATGAAAAATAATTATAATATCCAAGTTTATAGAAATTAATATTATATTCGCTAATTGATATTCATAGCAATTTACTGATAATTAAGTCATTTCATAAATTAGATGATTGAAAATTCTTATATTTGCAAAATAATAGTATATAATAATAATATATTATATTTTAAAAATTAATCAATCGATATAATTAATTTTTTTTTAATATTAAAAGAAAATATAATCTTTTTTTTTTTTAATAAAACAAATAATGATTATTTCTGATGACAACAATGATTTATTCAAATTGAAATATTTATTTTTTTTAATTAACATTCAAAATTTTTATATTATGTAAACTATATGTATTTTGATCTCATAATCAATTGTTCTAACAAATTTAAAAATTTGATAAATTTATAAATTCAATCATAAAAAAATTTAAATCATATATTTATCATATGGTTATTATATATATAAAAAAGTTTAAGTCATATATTTATTATATGCTCTGTAAAAAAATAAATATCTTGTACAAGTAATTGAAATTAAGCTTTTACTAAGTAAATAGCAATTTATAATATTGTTTTTCATTTATTTCATTGTATAATTAAATTTCTTTTCTGTTTTCTAAAAAAAGTTATTTTATATTATTATAAAAAAAGAATGTTAAAAATATGATGTAATAATTGTGTGTACAATTTGCAAATTTGTTCTAAGATTTTTTAGTATTTTCCTATCTGTATAGAAAAATTTATTAATCAATTTTAATAATATTTATATTTTGTTTCATATGTAATGTAATATTAAATATTAAATAACAAATATTAAATCACATATGTAATAGATGATTTAATGAAAATGTTAACAAATATTGTTCAAATGTAAGTTTATGCAAATATTTCATATATTTTCATTTTTTAAACTATTTTATGATTTATTTATCAAATAATAAAAAATTTTAATTTTTAATGTTGTAATATTATAATATTATAATTAATATTAAAATTTGAATTTAATATTTGAAAAAAATAAATTGTATCAATATTTAATAAAAAATAAGACATTTTTATGTCTTGATTATGAGATAAATAATATTTAATATAATTACAACTTTCTAAATATCTAAGTTATTTCATAATTAACATTTTCTAAATATATGAAATATTAGTTTTTATTTAGCTGGATATAGTGGACCTATAATAACAAATTATAGAAAACTAATATATTAGGATTATACAATACATATTAAATACTATTATACATTAAATTTAACATTATTAAATGTATATATAAAGTTATTTAAATGAAAGGAATAGAGTGAGAATATTTATGAATGAGTGTAATGAAGTTTAAATGCAAATATGATAATTGTATATTATCCCTAAAATGTAGAAATAGAATTGTTTATATAAAATAAATACAATGACTTCTTATGCAGCTTGAAAAAAATTTCATTATAATATATAAAGAAAAGATATAACTTTACAAAATTAAATTTACTATATTTCATTTTTATACCAAGTTGTTTACTCAAATAATTAAAAAAAGAAAAGTATCAATTTGTATAACATTAAATTTAAAATGTAAGTTAAATTTAAATAGTAAGTTTCAATATACTATTAATATCTTTAAATTATATTTGATATAAAAAATGAAAATTATAATTAAAATTTTATTACAAAATCTGATTATGAAATAGATAAAAAATAATGACACAAAATTTTGTTATAAAAACAACATATTGTGTTTATCTATTATACAATCATAAATAAAAGATAACAAATTAAATCATTGCATAATTATTGCACAAAACAATCATTATTAATGAATTGTACATATAATCGATTATTATCAATCATATGCATTATAATTAGAAAATAATGAAATATAGGATAGTTATAATATAGTTTGAATTATGTACAATTATAAATATATATATTATAATATGATAATTTTATGCTATATGATATATTTCAAATATAGTTTTAGTATTATTTTAAATTTGTTTTATGACAATGTACATGCTCTTTAAATAATATTGTTTTTGTGAAATAATTAATTTCTCTATATAATAATGAATCATCTGTATTCAAAAAGTCATATTTAAAATATAAATTTTAAAATTGTGTTTGTAATACAATTTTTTATTAGTATAACAAAAAAATAATTAAATGTAGATATTTAGTTATATATAGCATGTTATATATAATAGAATTACAATACTTAAAAAATTTAAAATTTGAAAAAATTAGTTGTTAATATTGGTTACATATATTAAAATCAATTATTATATTTATTTCTTTTATATTTTATATTTATATTTATTTTGTTCTTTATTGCATTTTTTTAAATAGATTATTTTATTATGAATAAAATTATGAATTTTTATTATTTCTGTTTATTATAATTAAAAAAAAATATAATTAAATTAAATAAATTATAGATCCATATTATTAAATTAAAAATCTATATTTTTAATTTAATTTCAAAGTAGAAAATTTAAAATTTACTTTATTTAATAAAATTATACTTGGATTTAGAAAATTAAACATATTAAATTGCATTTCATAATGTATTCGTGTAGTAAATTAAATTATTAATTAATTAATAAAATATAAATTATCAAAAAAATCATTAAATGTAATCTTATTTAATTAATAAAATTTACTTTTTTTGAACTAGCATAAATATTATTAGAATTAGATTAGAATTATATTGAAATAATTTTAACATTCATATTATTTTAAAATTTAATTTATAAATAATATTTTTCTATTTTCTGTATTACAAATACATTTCAAATATAGAATTTTTTTAATATTAAAATTAGAAAATTGCATTAAATTAATTTTTATATATTTGTTGATTAAAATATTTCACATTTATATATTTCAATTTTATTTTAAATTAAATTTTTAACATTTATTTAGAATCATATTATATGAAATATCAGTTTATTAATACAAAGCCATGGTAATACTGTATTTAATAAAATACTATATTTGATAGAATGAAAAAAATATTTCCATTTTATTAATAAACAAACTTGAAAAGTTGTAAAAAATACGCTAATATAATATTATAATGATTATTAAATATACATTTTTATAAAGATTTTATGAATAACACATAATTACTATTCAATCTATATAAAAAATATATATTAATATTTGTTTTTTATAATAATATAATATATTTACAATATAGTTATTCTTTTACATATTTTTATTTTTGATTAAATTGTTTATTATAAAATACGATAGTATAAAAATATATTAATCCAAACTTTTTACATTTTAATGATTCTAATATATATGCATTGTATAAATCTTAATTAAAGTTTCTTTACATAAACATATAAATTAAAAATGATATATAATATTACGATATATAATATATAACATATATGTATATATGTTTAATAATTATTTATTAGATGTTATAAAAAAATAAAATATAATTCTGGATCAATATATGTATTAAAAATAATTTGAGTTATACATGTCATTGATATTTAAAAATTATAATGCTCAAAATATAAATAAACTTTAACATTAAAGATTATTTGTTTTTATATTTTTAAATTCTACATGTTCATTATCATTAAACAAAAATAAAAATAATACATTTTAAAAGAACTTATCGAATTATAAGTAATATTTAATGATAAATATTATTTGTTTTTATATTTTTAAATTCTACATGTTCAATATTTAATCAATATTAAACAAAAATAAAAATAATGCATTTTAAAAAAAACTTATGCAATATATGATGATGATACATATTATTACCATTGAATGTTAATATATTAGTGATATAGAAAACGAGTCTTGAACATAACTTCATATGCCATTAATGATGAAAATATCCTTGATATAAAATTGATATTGCTTTATTTTATTTTCACAACTAAAACAAATATTTATTATTAAATAAATAATATTATGTTTTCAAAAGAAAATATTTTTATATTATATAAATCAAAAGAAGATTCAATAAAAATTAAATTAAAAAAAATTGTAAAGTGTATAAACAAAATATATTATAATAATTAACATTTTTGCAAAATATTATAAAAATAATAAATATTATAAAAAAATGTATAAAATATTGTAAAATAAATTATAAATTAAATCTATGTTAAAAATATTTTATATTACATTTACAAAATTAAAATAGATTATTTTTTAAAATTCTATTGAGATATTTTAAGAATATAAAATTCAATTAATTTGTGGATTAAAAATATGTTTGAAGATTTCTGGTAAAGTCTTACCATCTGGTTTATTATTATCAGATTCATTAAATTCTTTATAATTTTCAGGTATTGGATGTGGTCCTGGATGTCTTAAATCATTTGTTTTATCTTGAACTTCTTTGAATGATGCTTTAATATTATCTAATGCATTACCTAATCCTGTTTTGATTTGATTAAATTCTTGTGTCACCAATGAGAGTCTTCCTAATAGATAATTTAAATTTTCGTCAACTTCAGTCATACGTTTTGTTATTTCACTTACCTATAAAAACATATATATAAATATTTAATATAATATATTAATAAACATTTTATTTTATTTATCATTTAATCTTAATTGTTACTTTAGTTTCCATTCCACCCATAGTAGAAGTGGTACCATTAACATATTCTTCATTTTGTTTATGCAATTTATCTAATGCTTTTGCACTTTCTGTCATCTGTTGATACATGACATTTATTTGTCGCCACACCTTATAAAAAAAGAAAATAAAAAAATTTAATATAATGTTTAAAGATAATTTTTTAGAAAAATATATAGTAATAATTACTTGATTCATTTCTTGTTCCATTTTAGTAGTTAAATTTGCTAAAGCTCCATTTTGATTGTCCATAATATCATTTGATATGCCATCAAATCTTTGATTCAGAGTATTATTAATATTTGTACTTTGTGCTTTTACTAAATCTCCTACTTCTAAAAGAATTTGATGTACACCATATTCAACTCTTTTTTTAGTATCTAGGACATGATCAGCCATTGATACTATTACAGATTGTCCTTTTTCAAGA